CACGTGCTCACCTCCTCACTCCTTCTCACCTCCACCTGTCCTCCAGGGTCGAGTGCGGACGCCACCTCGTCCATGGAAGCCTTTCCCTCTAGGCTACTCCCCACTGAGGACCGCGCCTTTACCTGTGCCCTTCAGCGTGCAGCACTTCCCACAGCACAGGCCTGAAGAGCACGTCATTCCCCCTTATTAGACAGTCCCCACACTCCTCGGGCTCCGCCTCGCCCATCACACTGTCACATCCCCACCGGGATGCGCGCTCCGTATCTGCTCCGAAAGTGCCGATGGGCACCTCCCAGAGCTCTGCCCTGCCCATGGGAGGGAGTGTGTGTCCTGGGCAGCACTGGATGGCGGTCTCCCATCCTTCCTGCTGAGCTCTCTGGGTTTCCCACTTTCTCTGCTGCCGTTCTGAGAGGGCAGAGCATGGCAGGACAGTCATGCCCTCAGCCCTGTCCCTGAGATACAATCCTAGACTGGGGGCCTGGCCTCCTGGGTGCAGCGGGAGAAGGCAAGGAGACCTGGTTGCTGCACAGGCCCCAGAAGCACAGTAGCCCAGGGAGGCCACGGTGGGGCTGAAGAGTCTTTCCTCAGCCAGTCAAGTCGCCTTCAGGTACCCAGCCAAGGACTGTAGGAAACAGGGAGATCTGTGCACAGTGACAACGAGGACAAAATATCAGGGGGCCAGGGCAAGACATAAAGCCACCGTTACAGGCAAACTGGAGGCAGAGAAGGTGACTTGGGAGGCGTGGCAGGAGCCTGCCTTAGAGGACCTGCTGCTTCATCTGCTGCTTCCATTTCTAATTTCCTTATATTCAGGAAAGCATTTGGGCATGTGATATTGGCATAAAATCATTTTGTACATTTTCCTGAATATAAGGAAATTAGAAATGGAAGCAGCAGATGAAGCCAAATGCTGGCTGCAGACCCACTTCCAGTGGCCAGGCAGGTGGGAGGGGCAGGCTGCAAGCACTCCCTCTGGGCTGTTGTGAGGGGCTGGAACCTAAGCATGGCTGACCTACCTAGGACCAGGATGGGGGGCTGAGGGTGGCTGATCAAAGTCACTGACCAGCCCGCAGTGCCAGGATAGCCATGAGAAAGAGATGCTTGACTTGCCGATGGAGAGCCTCCCAGCTCTCTGAGCACCCAGGCTGCTGCAGACAGTAAACCCCACGAGAGCAGGAACTGTGTGTCTCCCCTACTTGCTATCATAACCTGCACAGAGCAGGTGTCCAATACCTCCCTGCTACGTGACACCTCAGAAGGTAAAACAGCTCAGATCTTTGGTTGGGAATCATCAGAGGGAGCACATTTTAAACACAATGTGCGAAGGGCAAACCGGCCTGGTCCATTCCTGATGCAGGAGGGGATGAGGTGGGCATATATAAACTCTAAATCAAAATCGAGCGTTGCTTCCTTATAGGCCCACCATTTTTACAAGAAAAACTTAGCCAGGAAAACATCAGTTGTGATTTTAGTCGATAGGATTAATATGTATTATTGGTCTGCATCCTCAAGTTGCCGATGTGCAGATGTGGTGAGGATCCACAGCCTTGCTGACTGCAGCAGTTTTAAAGGTGCTTGTTCTGGCAAGGTCAGGCCACCTTGGCGTGAAAGCCAGGCCAAGGGCAGAAAAGCATGCCAGTGAGTCTTGGGCCATTTTCTTGTGCGCACGGATGTGCATACGCGCATGCACACACACACACGCACATGCACACACACACAACAAAACACAAAAACAAAAATACAACCAATGGAAGAAACTGTTTTGGCAGGCATTGAGCTGCGTCTTGGTCTGCTTTTCAATAACTGGGTCAGAATCTAAACTTTTCTTTCTTTTCTTTTCTAAAAGAAAACATTCCCTAACCAAAATATGGAATTCATCTGCATTGTAATCCCAAGTGGAGAGCAGACTCATTTCCTCTTGATCTGTTTCACTTACTCCCACTCGATCTTGTTTCTCATGGACAATGAATGGAAACACTCCCCTGTAGGAATTTCAACCGCCCTCTCTGAGACAGATGTTTTGGAAACCACTGACAAGCCGCCTGTCACTCTAAGGCCAATCACACACACTTCCAGCCAGTTGGGTTTGAGGTGTTTCTGCACAACCATCTCTACTATGACCTGTACAGTCTTAGCTATCTGCCACCTCAGATCGGATAAGTATCTGCAATTGAGCAACGTTTTCTCCATGTTCCCTTTCACCAACACAGGCCTCCCTGGGAGGTCACATCTAAGGCTCTATCTCAGCAACGGCATCATCATCTGCTGAAGAATCAAGAATGGGCTTTTTCAGGCGTGTCTCTGTAAAGACCTAGCACAGTCAAGTCCTTCAATGAAATGGTTACTTTCAGGAAGTGAGCTGGGCACCTGGGAAAGAAAATGAACTTTTATAAGCCACTGGGGCAGTGTTCATAAATTTCAGCTGGGCAAATGGGGCCCTCCTGGCTTGAAAGAATTATTACTCAGTACTTCCTAAGCACCCACATAAGTTCATGTTTCTCCCTGAGGGCCTCACTCGCTCCAGAAGAGAAACGTACGACCAGCTTTAGTCTTGTTTAAAATGGGTGTGATGCATGGAGGCAGATCATTCGAGCCACCTGGATGTGCTGTGAAATAGTTTCTCAAACAGTTCCAGCTTTTCCAAATGCACCTATAAAAACAAAACTAAACGCCTGCTCAATTCACTCTTTAGCAGATCTACTTGGCTCCATATGAGTCAACAACACAGCAGAGAGAAGTTTCAGCAGAAACTTCCGGTGAATGACAAGAATAGGACTAGGTTCACATGCATCTGAAGGGGCATGAACCAAGTCAAGAGCAGACCCTCAAGAGAGACCCCTCCTTACCCAGCCTTTGCTAAGTAAGGCCATTATACAGAGGATGAGTTGGAGAAGCTAAGGCAAAATCAGAAGAACACTCAACATTTAAAAACTTAAAACCTGTGCAAAGGTTATTCTCATGTGCCTTAGCAATGGACTTCAAGACTTCTATTTTCCACTGCACCAATACAACTCGACTCGGGAGCCACTAAATCCAGGCACAGACATACTCCCAGAGCTGCACATGCCTGTAGTGTTAGTACACACTGCTGAGGTTAGCCTATCACCTCCTTTTCTCTACATTCTTTTTTCTATCAATGAGATCATTTACATGTAATACTAAATTTCAACTTTATATGGAGCAATCTTTGAGTGGAATGACCATTAAGTTGTAACTACAATAAGACATTTTCTCAAACTAGGTATCTTTAGGTAGTCCATTTACCAAAACCATTGGGGGTGGGGGCTGGGGGTAGGGGGAGAGAATACCCACACAGAGACAAAATTAAAAGGGATTAACAGAGAACATCAATACAGAACATTTAACCAGAATAGGACCAAATGACCTATCTCCAGCTCCATCACTGTATTAGCTGTGTGTCCTTGGGCAAATTACTCAATCTCTGAGCCTCAGTTTCCTAATGTGTGAGATGGGAATAATAACAGAACCTGCATTTCCTAGCATGGACCATGCACCTGAGGCATAGTGCTCAGCAAACGAAAAGCTCTCAATAAATGGTCGCCTTTATCACGTGATTCTCAGTAACCTCAACTCCAGGACTTGCTGGTGCTGCCGCAAACAACACAGTCTGGCAGAGTCACCTGCATCAATGACCAGAATTGGCCTCTTGTTCACCTTGCCACTCAGAGGTCACTGTCTGCATGTTCCGTTTATACTGACTAAGAGTTTCCTGATGACATAGCAGTCACACCGTAACATCTATTTGTTTAGCTCTTTGCTTTTTGCTGCTTCCAAATGCCTGTGGATTGATCTATGTGGATCCTAGAAATGTAATCGTTAGTTGCTTGGCTAAGGAGGCTTCTCTCTGTGTTTGTTTTTACTAGAAGTCAGTCCTCTGAACCTGCGGTTTGCAAACTTTCTTTCTGAGCATGGAACACTATCAAACAGGATCTGACAAGCAACTCCAGTTCTGCATATGAAACAGATAAAAGCGGAGCTGTGCCGACTATAAAACAAAGGGTTGACAAGGGCCACCTTGATCCCACCACGCCAGGCAGCCCCTAAAATGCCCCTAGGAACTGTAGCATTCTGTGGAGCATGCTCAGAAAACACTGACCTAAATGGCTCTCCCAATCTGGATCTGGCCACATGGCCTGAACTTGAGTCTCACTGGTGAGCTCCTGCCTTTCATCTCCTAGCTTCATCAGGAACAACAGTCAGAGGCCCACAAACCACGATCCCTTGCTCACTGGCGTTCCTAGCGTGGCTGTGGTCAGTGCAGATACCCAGACCCTGATTTTCTTTGTTTACTGACTGAACACTGAGTTACAGCAACTCCCCCCGCAAAATGCCCCGGGACCACAGTGTTTACATGGCTGTGCCCACCGGTGTGCAGGATGCATGATATCATTATTACTGGCTTCTGGAGAAGCCATGTTCCACTTACAGTTCTCTGCACCCATTAGGCCATGCCATGCAAACCAAGCTCAAGGCAAAGACTCAAAAGAATTTTTCAAATAATTATCCATGAAAATGCCGTTCCTCTGGTGAAATACACGCTCCTTACAGTGCTTATGAAGCACCAGCAGTTTCCACACATATGAAATGTTCCAGGGACAAAAAATTAGAGAGAAATCCGGACCAGGGGATCAGAACACTGGAGCAGCTGGGCAAAGTCATCTCTGCAGAAAGCCCCAGACAAGGAAGCAGGCCCCTCCTCCCTGTTTAATTGCTGCTCAGCGGAAGCATGACATCGACTTAACTGTGGGAAGGCGAGAGGCAGAGGGGGGCTTGTTCAGGGTGGTCTGAGGGAGACCAGCCAGGAGTGATGGGGCTGGAGCCAACCAACCAAAGATCCCAACCAATCGTGAGGAACACAGTTCCCTCCCCAGAAAAAGCCGTTTCGCCTCCCGGGGGACCGGCTGGAAGTCATTTGGAAACAGACTTTACAAAGCGCTCCAGAGTTTCCCAGGGGAGCGATTGGCCGTGATGAAGGGGAGGCTTCACGACCAAGTGGGTCTTGTCCAGCTCCAACTCCCATGATTTCTGGAGCCTTCTGCTTCTTCCCAGATCACAGTGGCCAGTCCGGCCGAAGCATGACCGTGAGGATCTTCCGGTCTGAGCATTTTAAGGCCTGGGTGTAGCTATGGACATGGCTCTGAGGCCTCCCAGCTGCGGCAGAGGAGCCCGAAGTCCCAGCATGTGAACAGCCCCACCTGGACTTGGGGTGTTGAGAAGATGGAGGGTGTAGTGTCCCTGGACGTGGTGCTGCCAGGCCCAGGCACTCAGCAATCAGGGCTCAGCAAGGAGCACGGCCCGAAGCCCCTCACCAGGGGGCTGCTGAAAACGTGTCCCTTTCAACATCTGCTCATCAGATTTGCTCTTAGGAAGCAATAATAATTAAAGCTACCCTACGATGGGAACACGGGCAAGTCTCACATCCCACAGCTGGCCGGCGAGTGGAGCAGGTGGGCCACACCTGAAGCTGTGTCTGCTTCAATCTAATCATTAAGCAGAAAGAATGAAGCCCCAGTGACACTGGTCACCTTCAGATAGCTGTCGCCAGCCCTCAGCACGATGTCGCTGAGCGCAGGTGGGAGGGACAGCTTCTCCACCGGCTCCTGAGCCAGCACTGGCACGACCCTCACCCGACCCCTCAGGCTGCAATTAGGCGCCATTTTCTGATGCTGTTCATCACGTGCCAAACACATTATGTTCTTGTTAACTGTTCACTTGCCTCAGGTTTCTGGAAAATTCCTGTCCAGAAATTTCGTTGTAAGCCAGAAGAGCCTCATGGAAAGTATCTGATTAAACATCCATTTTTTTTTTCTTATTTCAGAGTTTTTGTTGGGTGCGACTGCTTAAGTTACTATATCCGTTAACTATTGTTGTGTAACGAAGCTCCTCAAAATTTAGTCAGCTGGCGAAGGTTTCATTCACATGCCTGGCGATTGACACTGCCTGGCGAGGGGCCACCACAGCGCTCCTCCTCTTGCCGATGAGAGCCTCGGGGAGTTCCAACAGGGCGAGGCAGACGCTGACAGACCTCTTGGGGTCAAGGCTCTGGCACTCACTTGTGCTGCGTCTATCACTCCAAGCAAGTCAGAAGGCCTACCCAGACTCCAAGGGCAGGAAAGCACAGCTCCAGCTCTGGGTGGGAAGAGCCAAGTGGATGTGTGGCCTTTGTAAATCTACCACATGTCAGCATCTCCCCAGAGTGACATACAGAATACATGCTAAGATTCACTCTGACTAAACTTCCCAAGTTTAAAATTCAGTGTAAGTAACATAACCAATAGCAGAACAGGAGGCCAAAAGCTATCCTTCCGCAAGGGGCTGACAAACCACTAAAGAACCACGATTTCTTAACCTGCCTATTTGGCCACCAATCTGTACCCTCCCACACAATTTTCTGCTGAATCAGAAAGAAAAAGCTCACCCATCCTCAAAACCAGGTTCTCCATCGAAAGCTCTCAATAGCTATGATATGGGGGCGGGGGGGAATGATCTAATGCTCTGGTGGGAGCATAATGGTCCCAGTGGAGAGTGAAGAGTCACGTGGGATGGGCAGAGTCAAGTCAGCGTTTAGGGCAGTTATGACAAGAGCACTCACAAGACAGGAACAGCAAAAGCGTCTCCTCCAATTCAAGGATGAGACCCCCGTCTCAGCCCCTGCACGTGGAGAAGAGCACCAGTGCACAGCGAAGGCATGCTGCAACACTGGATGCTACACACAAAACGAAAAAACAAGCCATGTACGTTTTCTATTTGCTCTTGTACTGGGGAGAGTGACTGACAAGGGGTAGACAAAAGCATCTATGGATCTGGTTGCTGTAACTGGTTCTCACAATTGATTGTTCTTACACTCATTTTATTCAAGGACAGAGATTCTCCCAAAGATACACAGCAAATCAGGGGCCAATTTACTACATTAGAATCAAGATAGCCCAGCATTTCTTTATTTGGTGTCAAATACTTTTAAGTCTTCATCTTATGCCATGAAGTCATCAGGGAAACATTTCCTTGGAAGCCTGAATGCAGTTTCAAAGGATGGGATAAGAGTGTATCTGCAGAGGAATGGGGAATTCCATGACAGAAAAACAGTCCCTGGGTGATAAAAGAGGAAGTGGAAATTCCTAAGGCAGAAAGAATCATGAGTGCACCACACAGGTTCTACAAGCTCCATTCATCATCCTGCACCTATGTTGTTTCTACAATGGCAGGATGTTTGGTGGGAACTTGAACATGAGCCAATAGAAATGGTATCCATTTTTTTTTTCTGGACAAGGAACAGTTTATTCTCACAGCCGAGCAAAGGGTGAGGCCCAGCCCTGATAGCAGCAGAGGCAGCCCCCGCCCAGCCCCAGCCCTGCAGGTGGGCTGGCTGGGTCAGCAGCCAGGGTGGCAGCCCGCCTGCCATGGGAGCGGGGCTGGTCATAGAGCAGCAGTGGTCAGCAGCAGGTCATAAAGGGAGACAGGAAGTGTTCGTTGGGCTGGCTGATTCCCACCCACCACGGGTGGTGCTTGGTGAGTGCCTGGGTGGGTGGGTAGGGGAGCAGACTGCAAGGTAGGGGCACCTGGCGTGGCTCAGTCAGCCATGAAGATGAGGCGGGAAAGGTCATCCAGGAGCCAGTCGATGCTGGGCAGCAGGTTATCCCTGGTGCCAGTGCTGCAGCCCTGGATGCACCAGTAGTGGCTGCAGACAGAGTCCAGCTCCAGGGCCTCACGAGTGGCATTAGAAGACAGTGCTCCGGGCCGGTCCTGCCTGTTAGCCAAGATGAGGATGCCTCCAGCCAGGGGCTCCTGCTAGCAGTTCTATATGCGCCGGCAGTCGGTGCTGCCCACCACCCAGACAAGAACTACTGCTCTCAGTAGCTCTTTCTGCCAGTAGGACCACAGGGACTCCTGCACAACATCCCAGATGTTCTTGAATCCCCGGTGCTCCAGGGTCTTGATGCTGAAGCCCAGTGTCTGGGAGGTGTTGTCGATGTCTTCCCCGCTGAACTTCTTGAAGATGGTTGTTTTGCCAGAGTTGTCCAGGCCGAGCATGAGCAATCGAAGCTCCCACTCTTTCTGCTTCATCTTCTTCAAGATGGTCAGAAGGTTCATGGTCCCCAGAGCCCCCTCCCAGCTGCCATTTCTTCCACCTTTTGACATTAATGTGGGAGAGACGGTGACAGCAGGGGCAAGGCCCTCACGACTTCCACAAGCGGACTTCTCCCACCGGCCTTACAACCTCACTACACTGGTATTTCAGTCACATCAAACTACTCATGGCCTCCTGAGCTGGCTCTGCACTTTCAGGCCCTTACCTTTGCCAACCCTCCTCTCTGCCTGGACTTCCTTTCTCCTCCTTCATCCCTTAGTGAAAACTAGTCATTCTTAAAGCCCAAGTCAAATGTCTCAGTTCTGGATGCCTTCCCCAAATGGCATAATTGTTCCTTTCTTTGTTCCCATAAAATCCTATTCTTTGTTGCCAGCATCACACAATAGGTCTCAATGATTACGTATCTGATAGCTTCGAGATCTTATCCCCTCATCCCCTAAAGGACACTAACAGCACAGTCAACAGGACAGTAGGACACCTTTTCCATGTTAAGATATGTCATCAAGACTGTTGTGTGAGTATAACAAAAGGGAACATCAAAATGCATATAGCGGAGAAAGTCCACGAACAGCACTGGATTCTACCTTCTTTCTTTCCCCAGGAATTTCTCAAACTAATGAAGGTGGCTCTGTTCAGACTTGGCTGGCCACAGATTTCCCTCAGATTTTTGTTTTCTTCCAGATCTGAGTGTATGGAAAAAATCTCGTAATTTCCTTATAGGCCGAGTTATAATTCCGTAGGCTGGTTAGCAGTGAGGAAACCTCAACTATAAGGAGCCTAACAATCCAGTTGTCCGATTTGTTACTCTAATGGCCTATCGGTGTTTGCTACCAAGGCACGAGAAACAACATCAAGACGCCTCTCAGAGACTCTCCCTATATCTTCCCTTCCCAGTATCAGGGTCAGGATCAGTAGTATCAAATTCTCAATAGCTTTTAAATTCACTCTGACTTCTAGCAGGTACTGATGTAATTTAAGTACACACTGCTAACAAACTGCACATGCTTTGTATCTGACCCTCTGAGCTGCCTCTAAAGTGAACTTGTTAAAAACGTAGAGCAGTGCACTCAGCAGGCACTGCCAGTGCCTACCAATGTCCCCTCAGCTCCCACTCCAGTACATGCAGCAAGCACCCAGGCCCTCCGCCTGCAGACCCTCTACCTGCAGGAGCACACCTTCAGGGCTGGCCTCAAGAGCAGACGTCAGTCAGTGGCAGATGTGAGTTGGAGGAGACATACCCCAGCTTGTCAGCTCCTCAGAGGGGATGATTCTAAAGGCTGTTTCATGGAATTCACCAGGGACTGAGCAACCCGTTCAAACACATCCCTTCATTGGCTCTCTTCTCTCCATATCCCAATCCCTATTCCTTCAATGGTTGCCAGGATTACTCCCTAATAACTACTTGTGCTTAGATCCTTATCGTAGAATCTGTTTTGGGGGAAACCCAGTCTAGGAAAAGTACCAACAGTAAAACCACTTGATACTGATAAGGGAAGGCAGACCCATGGGGACACCTATATTCAGGTGCAGTAAACATACACAGTAAATAAAACACGGTCACAGCATATTCATGCAGAAGAACCTTTCTGTGTCATAGTCATAATGAGCCTGAAAGGCTCAGGAAGCAAACTGAGCTGTCTTAAATCTCTGGGAGTTAGTGTGTCATATGTGTTCTAAAAATGGATTGAATTTCATTGGTTGTTTCCAACTTCCATGGTCTTAAATTTCCCTTTATTCTTCCCAGCACCATATTTCCCATAACCCCTGAAGAAATGTACCCCTGGGGAAGGATATTTCGCAATCTTAATAAAGTCTTTCAATCCTTGGGAGACAATTCACCATATTTTCATTCTCAAAAATATTAATTCTACTCCCTGAAAGAATCTTATGAAAATATTTGTATTCCTTGCCCGAGTTCCCTGGGAGGTGAAGTTGAAAAGCTAGCTAATAAAGAATAATTCTAGCCAGGAGGAGGAACGGGTTCATTTTGGGGCACACTGCATTAGAAGTGCCAGTGGGACACCAGGGGACGACCACCACTGGGCAGTTGGCTATGTGGGTCTGCAGCCTGGGGGAGAGTTTGGTCTGGGGAGGTCTGGGCTGTGGGTGGCAGCTGGAGTCCCGGAGTGGACTAGATAACTTGGAGAAGGCAAGGAGCTAAAGGAGAAGAGGGTCAAGGAAACAACGACTAAGAGGCCGGCAAGAAAAGTCAGCCAAGCAGTGTGACAAGAAACATTAGAAGAGAAGCAGGTAAGATTCACTTCATGGGGTCAGTGAACACTTTATTATGAGCCAGCATATTGTGTTTATTATTAGTATTCTGTCAACAGGAGTTATATCATGTCTGCCCTGGACAGGCAAAGGGGAAACAGAAGTACTAGGGCAGGATGCAGGGTGAGATCATAAATCAGCTGTCATAAATGACAATCTCACCTGAAAAGGAGGACACAATCACAAAAGAGAAAATATAAATGGCTATTCTACTTATGAAAAGCATTCAATTTCATTAGTAACAAAAACAGTAAGAATTAAAATGAGATGCCATTCTCACTTCCCAAATTGTCAAAGATTTAAGGATCCGATGATCTTTAGGGTGGGATAAAAGAAAACTCTTAGACTGCCAATGGGAGCCCAACTTGCCTAGATATACAGTATTTTAAAAACTGAACAGATGTCTGTAAAAGGATATTCAAAGTTTATATTTAATGGTTTAAAATAAATCAGAAAACAACTTAGTTGTCAAAAATAGAAGGTTCAAATGATTTAAATATGTACCATAAGATAGAATATCCAACCATCAAAATGCTTTTTTTTAACAAGAAACTTTTAACGATATGGGGAAATTTCATGCCATATTAAACAAAACAAAAAAATAACTGAACATAAAATTGTATACAGACTAAGCGCTCAACTATGTGAAGAAAGGAATGTACACCTGAGGGCAGGTGAAAAACCATCTTTGCTTTGAGATGTGCAGATATCAATACTGCAAGCATGAAAGAGAATATACAGCAGCTAAAGAAAACTGTAACTCCTAGGGGTTTGCCCCAGTGGCTTTCTCTGCAACTACCTTCTTAGCAAAATGCCTGGCAATTTCTAGAATAGACTTTAACTGTACCTGATGTGGTTGTAAATGGCCAATAAACTAGTTACCATGACCTTGAATAATGAGACAGAATCCAAGAAAGCAGTTGACCACAGGGTGACTGTCTTTCCAATCCATAGCCACTGCATGAATATAAGGGAGGTAGAGGGAATGAACTGAATTGCAACTGAGTCAGGTATGCAGTTTGAAAATGAAGCAAGAAGGGAGAAATGTGGTGGTGAGGAAACAAGAAAGAAACCAGCTCTTTCAGATTAGTCACACTAGATGTCTAAAGTGGATTTTCAGTCCTATTTGCCTTCATTACTTGAAAGAGATGACCTAAGCTGTGAGTTAATGACAGGAAGTGTCCATTTCCTAACACAACTTGGCTGTGTGCATAGAATAATTTGGATCAAAATCAGGTACATTTCCAAGTCCATCTGAGCTTGCCAAGTAGCTTTAAGAGTTTCTCATAGGCTGTTCTGGGCTGGTAATGTAAGGTACAGATATGGGGGACCAACCCCATCTTTACAGGTTGCATGGGACCCTCGCCTGGTAACTAGTGGTTGCCCCCAGCGTGTGAGTACAAGATAGGAAAAAGATTACACAAACTTTATTTTGGTTATTAAATTAATCCAAAAGGGAATGCAGATAAAATCAATATTTAGTTCAGAAGAAGTCAGTTTATGCTAGGAAATCATGACGAAATTTCAAAGAGCAGAGAGGGTGTTTATGGGGGAAGGATCTTGGAACTTTTGAGCTTTGTTTGGTGGTAAGCAGGACTGCCATGGTTTGGCAGGGGAAGTAAAAGGGGATACAAAATAAAACTGTATACAAGTACTACTTACCTAACTGAACAAGCATCATATAAAAGCACTAGAAGCCCAGTGCATGAAATTTGTGCACTTGGGGGGAGGGGGGTTTCTCAGCCCGGCCTGCACCCTTTTGCAGTCCAGGAACCCTCGGGGGATGTCCAACTGATGGCTTAGGCCTAAGCCCGCAGTCGGACATCCTTAGCACTGCCACAGAGGCAGGAGAGGCTCCCGCCACCACAGCTGTGCTGGCTAGCTGTGAGCCCGGCTTCTGGCCTAGTGGTGCTCCCCCTGTGGGAACACAATGACCACAGGGGGCAGCTCCTGCATTGAGCATCTGCCCCCTGGTGATCAGTGCATGTCATAGTAACTGGTTGTTCCGCTATTTGGTCGATTTGCATATTAGCCTTTTATTATATAGGATAAGTACACTTTACAGTGACAATGAGGGAAACACCTCCATTCCATCCCAGTGCATATTCAGTCAGCTGAGGTCAGTTCATTTCCCTCTCAAACAGCAATTTAAAAGTGGATCATTAAAGTAACAAGCTGTCTATGGAAGGATCAAGGGCATTTCTTGGTGTAGACGGAATGACAAGAGGAGTGCCAACTGGTATTCCAAATCCACCTGCTGCAGGATTTGTGTAAAGTCTTTTTCATAGACTTTGGCATTTGATCAAAACAAAACTGTGGTTACTAATGTGAAATCCAGAACGTCCTATGGACCAATCCCATTGAACAGAGGACTGGAATCCCCTGTGGCGTAATCCCTCAGAGCACCAGAGTTCACAGGAAGATGGACTCTGGCCACATCAGCACAGAGAATAGTTCCTTTCCAAGTAGGGAAGTATTCATTCTTCTTTAAACCTCCCCACCCCCCGCCGCCTTCACCTCCTCTCCCCAAGACAAATGATTTCTTCCACTTCTCAAAAGAACAAAAGCCAGTACATGAGAATTCCCTTAACATCCATTCCTTGTAGTTTAAGCTTGTCTATGGCAATCACACCCTTTCTCTGCCAGCTCCTGTCCAAAGCTAACCCATGGACACTGCCCCCGGGACTGAGCAGTTAGCTGCAGCTCCGCCCACCTGCCCCCCCAGCCCTCATTGTTTCTTGCCAATGACCCCTTCCTACCTGGTCTCCTGGTCAATATGCCACTTGTGGTGCCTTCTTAATGTTCAACTTTACTTCTCTGCTTAAAAGAATTTTCATGGCTTCCCAAATTATAAACGGGTCATTCTGCCAAAACTCCTTAACAAATTGGGAGTTATACTTAAGCTCATACTCACTCCTCCATTTGCCCAACATTTACTGGGCACATGATATGTGTCAGGCACTATGCTGGGCAACCTACAATGTGCCTGAAGTAGAGGTCTCTTCAGAGACTGTTACAGAAATGGCCCTAGCCAGTTAGACTCAGTGGATAGAGAGTCGGCCTGCGGACCAAAAGGTCCCAGGTTCAATTCTGGTCAAGGGCACATACCTCGGTTGCAGGCTCCTACCCAGCCCAGGCCCTGGTAAGGGCTCATGCAGGAGGCAACCAATTGATGTGTTTCTCTCACACTGATGTTTCTCTCTGTCTTTCCTTCTCTCTTCTCTCCCCCTAAAAAATCAATGGAAAAATATCCTCGGGTGAGGAGTAACAGAAATGTTATAGAACCAGCTCTACAGCCTAACCATCACCTATCCTTTAGCCATTCACCCAATACTCACTGAGCGCCACACATTGTACTGGGCACCAAGGATGTAACAAAAGACTCAGAACAACCCTCAGTAAGTTTAGGGTCTCCTAAGGGGAGCAACTTTCTATAGAAAGAGAGCACTCCTGCTGGGAGCATCTCCCATACTCCTCTCTCAGGCAGGCCCAGGTCTAGCAGAACGTCTTTCCAGAAAAAAGACAAGCCGTCAACATAGGAGTAACAAAAGTAGGAACAGAACTGCATTCCCTTAAGCTTTTAGTATATGCGATTACTTTGATTTGCTTTTTTACAAATCTTGAAAAACCACTGTCTTGTTTCTATTCTATTTTTACCAGTTTCCTATTCAGAGACCACATATTTGACTCACTTTCCCCTCAGTAAAGGGGGAAGGCTGTTACACCCTCTCTTATTAAGTGCTTCCCCTCTTCAATTATCTTCTTCCAAGATGCTAGTGGGAATGAATTCTATACCCTAAAACTGGCATTTAAAAACCTCGATATTATTAACAGTCAAACTATATGCAAGGAAAAGCCATATTTATTGAGATTCACTAGGTACTACTTCTGTATGCCCCATTCTATCATTTACTCTCACAGCAAACCTGTGAGACAGGTGAGAGCCAGAGAGGGTGTTAGTAACTTGTTCAGGATCATACACCTAATTATAAGGTATAGGGCTGGGATTCAAGCCCAGGAAGTTCTGATTACATTTTTTTAAAGTCTGCCCATTAGAAGGTCCCTAATATCAACACATACCCTAAATTCATGATTTTCAAAGGCTACTCCCAATTTTCACAGAGTAGAACAGAGTAGGTGTCACCTTGCCACTTTACCAGTGAGGGCACAGGTGCCTGGCAGGGCAGTTCCTTCCAAGATCCTCAGGATCAGGGAGCCAGACAGGGAGTACTTTGTTGTCTACTGTGTACCACACATTGCCCTCTTTGCCTCGTTCAATCTTCCAAACCACTTTGGGAGGAAGCGGCGTCCACGTGTAAAGAGGTGGGAGTTCCATCAGGTAGAGAAACCTGCTGTAGGTCACACAGCCAATGCGCCCCACAGCTGGGATCCCGGCCCAGGTCTGAGTCCAGCAGAGGCGGGGCTACAGCCTGGGACCGCCTGACAGCGAGGCTCTCCCCCAGCCGCAATACAAGAAACCTTCCACCAGCTGATAGCATGTGAGTGACTGTGTATAACAGAAGGTAAGGTCAGATTTCTCTGTAATTCAGACGCTGTAAATTCAGAATGGCCGTGCCTGTGTCTGTGTGACTTGGTCAAGTTTTATTGTACTTGTCTGGGATGAATTCACGGTCAAAATTTAAAAAGATTCCGAGAAGGCTGGTTTTATCTGGTTAAATCCTCAGAGATGGGGATTTCAAGGGTGACTGTGATGCAGCTCCCGAGGGCACGGCAGCAAGGAATTGGCTGTTCCCCAGAGCTGGATAAACAGGCCAGCCTGGCAGCAATCCAGGGCAACAGCCACCATGGGGGACTAAATCATCATTGGGATACATCGGAAATATGGAGCCACTTAACTCAGGGGTGAACATGGCACTCCTTATATAAGGGGCGAGATGGCAGACAGTGCCTCCGAATAGAAATAAACACGCCCCTCACCAGGACACCCTCACCAGTACAGACCTGTTTCTGTTTGAGACTGTTTTTGCTCGTAGAACTGACTGAGTAAAAAACAGGCCTCCCTACCAACCCCAAAGTCAGCTGGCTGATGGGCACCTGAAATTCTGGATCTGAACCATGCATGACAGAGTGTTATTAGCCGAATTTTCGACAGGTTTATGAGCACCTGGTTCAGAAAAACGTGCAATAAATCCTTATTTTCAACATATAGGAAAAGGTATATGTATTTTTAATTAATAGTTTTATTAATGGAAAATCAGTTTCTTCCACCGCCACTAAATACATATGGAGCAGATTAAAGATTATCAGTAACGGTGCCAACGATCAGCCTTCTCAGGATACCCACCTGTCTCAGACCAGCCATGGCTTTCCCATGATAAAGAACTGTGCTCAAATAATTTCATAACTCACAAGTGTTTACAGTTCCCATAAAAAAAAACAACACATAAAGAACCAAGTTTCCTAATCTAATGCAAGCAGTTGTTAGAACAATTTAGTAACATTTGAAAAGTCAAAGTTCAATTTATGACAAAACACCAATTTTCCCTCCTCCAGAATCTGTAAGCTTAAACAATCACCTTCCCACAAATGACACGGTGTCTGTGAAGATGCTCTACAAATCCCCTGCACATGGCAGACTCTCCTTTGTAGGAGGGTATCAATTGGTCCCAAATCCATACCTCAAGCTGGCTCCCTTGGCCTGTGCTACATCCTCAAGTTCATAAGGAGACCACTACAGGTTGAACAAGACTTGCTTTTCTTGAATGCGTGCTTAGCCCCCATTATTGTTACTAATATTTCCCAAAAGTGGCCTTTAAAAATTAAAATCCATAGAGTTAATCATAAATCACCTGTTAGTTAACTGTTTTCAACTTTTATTTAGGCAATTCCTCTACCTGAGTGGACACTCAGTCATAAAAGGGGTAATCTGAACTGGCCATCTCTACTTCGCCTTTCAGAGAGAAAAGATAACAAACAGTGAAATGGTCCACAGAGAAGCTCAAAAGGAAAGAGAACTTAGCCAGCTAGGCCCACTATAAAGAGCCCTGAAACTGGTTTTTATGAATAGTAACAGAACAGATCATGTCAGAACTGAAGCATGGAAACTATAGCATTAAATTTAATACCACGTTGAAACTTTACAGGGTCCTTTACAACATTCGTGTATGATCATCAAGTGGTGTTTCAATCTAACCGTCTCCCCCCCCCCCAAAAAAAAACAAAAAATAAAATAACAACACCTAGTGTTTACCATTCATGGCCCCGAAGTTTGAAACACTGCACCTCTTTCAAGTAAGTTGCTACCAACCTGGAAAGCATTTCCAAAGAATCACTGACAATAAGGGCATCTGATTTCATTTACTTACCTAGTGTATCTGCGGGAATGCCAGGAATTCGCAGTGAACAATTTCAGAAAAATGCCACCTGGAGAAACAAATCGAACAACATGTTGGGTTATAAAACAACACAAAGAAGACATTGTGCAATTTTATGGCTCATTAAAATATGTAATGTTTCAAATACTGGTTCCCAAGCAGTATACCCTTCAACTTGCGTTAGAACACAGCCACCGGGAGCACTGACCACCAACACAGGGTCCAACCCACTGATGAGCCAGAAAAACCGAGAGGCAGTGGGGGAGGTGCAGCCCAAGAACATGCACTGAGGATGCCTTCCTTTCCCCTCACAAGGGCACCAGTATGAAAATGCAACTTGTGTCCTGGAGGGCACTTTGTAACCACCATCAGGCTCAAGTAACCCAGAAGCAAATTAAGGAATGAAATATGATATTGTGAATGAGGAAATATCCTGGCAGTACTTTATATCCTTTTCAGTTACTCTGTTAACTTTTTATTTTTTTATTTATTGATTTCAAAGAGAGGGAGGGAGAGAGAGGGGAGGAGAAAGGGGAGGGGGGAGGGAGGGAGGGAGGGAGAGGGAGAGCGAGAGAGAGAGAGAGAGAGAGAGAGAGAGAGAGAGAGAGAGATTGATTGATTTGTATTTCACTTATTTATGCATGCATTGGTTGATTCTTGTCTGTCCTGACCAGGGATGGAACTGCAACCTTGGCACATCAGGATGATGCTCTAATCAACTGAGCTACCTGGCCAGAGCTCTTTAACTTTTTTAAAAGCGAAATTCACAAGGATGTCAAAACTGGAGAAATGAAAAATGGTCATTAAAACTCTTAACACAGTAAATAGAGGAAGCAAGAAGTAAGAATTTATTGAGTGATTAGTCTATTCAAAAATCAAGTGTTCCTTTCGGTGTTCTCAGAGTCTTCAGGTAACCTCAAAAATGCTAAGTCTATTAATACATTCACAAACAGAGAATCCCAAAATGTCTGTTCAGAATTGCTTGGAAATATTCAACAGATATGGAACGAGTTCCTAACATAAAATATCACAGTTAACCATTTGTTGGAAATCTGTGGTGCACCTAGGAATGTGTGGCATCAGACTGTAACCTTCCAGAAAGGCAGTGCCACTGACAGAGGAGGAACCTGATGTTGAAAGAAGCAGAGAACCTTTCCCCGTATCACACACAGATCCAGGGTCTCCACATAGCACTCCTTTCCCTGCCAAGTGGCCCCATGAAAGCACCCCTTCACAATACAGTCTCTTCATTAACTCCCAAACAGAAACCTGGCAGTCCCTCATGAAAAACTATGGAAAAGAAATTGACCAGCAGATAAAAATTAACTTGTGCTTTTTACATGTTTCAAAGTAATTTCTTCATTTCAAAATGATTAGCCTAATCATGTTACTTAGGACTATAATGGAATATAGCATATGAGTAAAACTTTAGAAATAAAGGGTTTAGGGTGCAAGAAATAGTAAAAAGACAATTAAGAATGAAGAGATATTTTTAGCTCCATCCAAGATGGATCAAACAGAAAACATTCAACAATCTCAATTCTATTGATAAACAGGAAAATAGGAAAAGGCCATGTGCCCATCTTCTATAATCAAACTTCCAAATATACCCATCATCAAACTTTGACAATGAAAGTCTACACTTCTAACCGGTAACTAGTTAGGCAGCAGCAGCAGTGTTTATCCAAACTGGACCTGGGGCTAAAAAGCCAGCACTGGGCTCCAAGTCTCCTCTATCTACAGAAACTATTTTAGTTCAGTAACAGACTTGAAGATACTGTACAATCATTACTGGGTTTCACTTTATAAAAAAATAAATATAAAAAGAATTCTGAACTCATTAGTTCCTTTTTTATAATAGCTTAGGGGAGATGTGATTTTTTTAAAAACATGGTTCTTAATAAGTTAATTACTAGTTAAATTCCAAGCATTTCCCACAATTTAATATTACTCCTTTAGGGAAAGTCATGGGACATCATGATCAGTATTTTTATCTAGAAGTGGCTTCTGGGAAATAAGTCACTAGGATTATTATGAATGGGTCTGCTATAAATGGAGTTCTTGATCAACATTTCAGTACCACTAAACGTTACATGGCTCAAAAAATACCCCAACTTGAACAGCTCAAATCAAAGATAACATTTTTAAACTCCAGGCTGTTACATACAACACAAGCCAAGCTCTAGACCAGGGGTGGGCAAACTTTTTGACTCGAGGGCCACAATGGGTTCTTAAACTGGACCGGAGGGCCGGAACAAAAGCATGGATGGAGTGTTTGTGTGAACTAATATAAATTCAAAGTAAACATCATTACATAAAAGGGTACGGTCTTTTTTTTTTTTAGTTTTATTCATTTCAAACGGGCCGGATCTGGCCCGCGGGCTGTAGTTTGCCCACGGCTGCTCTAGACAGTTAAGGCAGATCTCAAGACCCTAACAGTAACAGAGAAGGCGGGGTCAAATGCTGGCCCCCACCTACTGCTGTCCAAACTCACACTGCTGGTTAAAAGCACTTGGGATTAAGTTTTGGTATCATGATTAAGCTTTTCTGACAACAAAGTCATATCTTGGGAAACCACCAAAGTGATAAAAAAAAAAAAAAAAAGATAAAACGTGCCAATTCTGTGATTGGGTTTGGTCATTAAATAGGTTGTTATAATAATTTTTATTTTTAGATATTATTTCAAAAAATATAGTAGACTAAACATATACTAAGTCACACAGCACTCAAAATTTCACAAAATAATAGCGATTGCATTAGGCATGAACTCTCAGGCACTGTTCTATGTACTTCATGGGAATGAACCCACTTACTTCCCAAAAAACTAGCTAGTATTATCCCCAAATTAAAGATAAAGTAGCAGGCACAGAGACGTTTAAAGAACTTTCCAGAAGTTAGATGGCTGCAAGTAAGTGAAGATTTGAATCCATATACATTGTCACATTTAATCCTAAAAACTATATAATACAGGCAGGGCAGAAAAATGTTCCCCAGTTTAATTTGAGAAAAAACTAATTCTGAGGAGTAAAGACTGATTTCCCCAAAGTCACACTGCTAGACAGCAACAGGGTCAAGAACAGAACCCGGGGCATCAAACAACAAGGCCAGTGCTGCTTTTTTGTTTGCTTGTTTTTATTTTAAATTCTGTAATCAATATGGAACTCAATGTAGAGAGTGGGTCCTGCCTTTCATCTCTGATGAGACACTTAAGGGTCCTCCCGTGGCCTGTGGCAACTGTAAGAACATCAGTGTAGTGCGCACAAAGGCACTGTCACGCTGCCCTATCACCATTTTTCCATTTCTTTATGTGCAATTAATGTTCTTCCCTTACTGGTTGTTAAACACATGGGAGCTTATAAAAATTAGAAATATTTTTCTTTATCAATATTTTGTCTTCATTTTTACAGCTCAGTAGTCTACTTGGCCATTTAAATTATTCATAGCCCAATAAATGGAGGCATTGTTTACTCTTGCAAGTACTGTATTCTAAATAAAATTAAAATCACCGTTATTTTTGAGTTAAAAATGTTTCCTTCCCATTCAACTCCATTTGAGTCTCATGCCCTTCTGGTCCACTTCCGGAGATCAGGAGGAGAAACAATAGCTGCCTTTAAAGCCTAAACACCCATGTGATAGGCACCAGCTCTTACTGAATAGAATTGCTAAAAACAGGAAGCAGAGTTAGTTATAAGACCCCTTTCTCAATGATAACTTTTTATGACTTGAAATACACTGATTTGAATTGTTTCATATTACTCCATGCAACTAGAACCAAGAAGTGTAAATTATCTTGGAAGTTAGTTATAAGGATAAATTTCAACTTAACTAAAGAAAGAATGTCCTTTTAAGCAGAGTCACCTCCCAGTGGTCCAGGTTGCCACTAGGGTGGGTTAAGAGGCAGCTGCCCATGATCACAGAAGCTGTAAAAGGGGAAAGTCTTGATAACTGTCCTCCAACATAGCGTCCTTTCAGGCCCCCTGCAATAGTTAGTTCACTACGCCATCTTTGGCAAGCAAGGGAATGCCCATGGCCGAGCCACACATGACATTTTCCAATTCACATTCTCATTTGACCCACACTGTGAGTAGATGGGTAGCTGGGTAAGTGGGGGTGAGGGCAGACACATCGTTTATTATTTCCATTTTACGGGGGGGAATTTGAACAACTTAAGGGGAATCACACAATTAGTAAATGTTATAATCTGGGCTCCAACCTAGGACTTCTGGTTCCCAAGTCCAGGCTATTGCCAGCGAAATGATGTTGCAACAACCAAGACATGATGGTTTCCAACCATCAAACTTATTCATCAAGGACAGGGGCATGAACGAGCCCCCAAAACTTGAAGCATGGAAATGAATACCAAAGGAGATAAGCTAAAAGCAAGATACTGTAAGAGGCCTACTCCTCTCACAAACCACCCCTCTACCTCACTAAGAAGCACCCTATATGTTCAGTAGACACTCTCTCTAATGCTCTGCTTACGTGTGTCAACTAAACAAATAACTGTCCAAATCCAGCCTGACGGTGTATGGCCTGTTGATACAATAAATGCTTCAGGAAATTGGTTCCCACTTTGAGGGGAATTGGTGACAGCATAATAAGCACAAAGAGCAGTGTCCCATTTCCGCAGCTAAAGTAGAAATTTCTCAAAGACCAGGACGGTAGGGTTTTTTGTTTTGTTTTATTTTGTTTTTTGAAAGTTAATGAAATGCATTGACTCCATTCTGACAACAGGTCCAGGATAACCTCACATTTGAGTCTGACAACCGGAGTTTAACAGAAATGGGTCAGCCACTGAAGGACTGCTGAACCCTGCAAGATTTTCAAGGAAAGACACGAGAGTGTCAAATTTCCCGAAACTGTCTACCACGTAGAGAGAGTGGCAGGCTGCCAACGGCTGGGCTGCGTTAACTAACCCCTGTGAAATGCTGGGAACCTGAACCTCCACAATGCCTGCCCTGCCACTCAGCCAGAGCGGATGACTGACGTTCCAGTTTCCAGAGGCCTCATAGACTTTGAGCCAAACGCTGTTCATCACAGAAACTTCCT